GTCGAGTTCCGACTTTTGGAACTGACGGGGGCTGCGCTCAGGCGGCTAATGCCCAACCTGCCAACTTAGTAGCCTCCCGTCGTACGTTGTATTTGGGGATCGTATCGTGCGGTCCATTGCTCTCAATGGGACGCAAATATTAGGCAACCAAGCTTCGCCAAGGATGGCTCGGCTCGACCGGAGTTATCACTCCACAGCCTCACCGAAAACCGGTGTGAAATAACCACAGCGTTGTTTCGCCGGGTGATTGAGGTTACTGGAGGCCCAATCTTTCCCTACCCTCGATCCCTCCCTAAAAGGTCGGCAACGCACTCGTAACTCCTCCGTTGCGGGTGTGCATGGGCGGCGCTGATTGCTTACCATCAGGTAAGCCGTATGCTCGTTTACCGAAATTGACATAACAAAAACGTCCAGTTCATGCGCTGGTACATCTGGCTGCAATCAACGGGCAGGTGGCAGAAGCCAGTACGCAGTACATAAGTATATCAATGTTAAAAATTTAACTACTTATACAAATGTATGCGTTTGTTACGATTAGAATAACATATACATATATATCCATACATTCTCACAAACTCACATTTTTAATATCGCTTAGTAGGAATGAGTAGGTTAACATTTTTTATTTTGGCCTTGTTGTTGATCAAATCTAGTATTAGTATGATAAAGAAAGAACATCACACGGATTCCCAAACATGCTTATAATAAAATAAGTCTACTAAGTCAGACATTCCCTACTTATCATTATCATTTAACATTGATTGAAGTTTTATTTTGGAAATGTAAATATAGTAGATCATTAAAGTAATACCAGAAGAGCCTCTACCTACAGTCTCGAGTAATACCGATCGTGTCTTGAATTAATTTTAGCGCCCGACGACATTGAATGACGTAACTCTACAACAGCATAGAAAAATGGTCTAAAATTTAGAAAAATGGTATATAAATCATTAAAATTAGTATTGACTTAATAAATAACAACACTGATTTATTATAACGTTTATTATTAATATAAACTGAAAAGTTATTTTAAATTTTTATTTTTTATAAAGAAATATTAATAGGATCTTTGCAAAACTTGGGGTCAGTGGGAGTTTAGCCCGCCTTATGCGTAACATTCGGCGGCGGACATCATGCAGTAGCAAGTCCAACCCGATCATCATTCCCCGTTAACCTTTGGAAAGATCGACTTGAATGTGGCCTGTCCGAGACTATATACTCCGCCGTGTAACGAAACCATAGCGCGATCTATTTCGATACTAACGCCATCTATCGAGGCGACAGTCAGTATAGCTGGCTTTTTGGGCCGTTCTTAAGGCAAGCACGTCGCACGTAGGACGTTATAGCGAAATTTTTACTTGAATAATCACGTAAGTATTTTAAATTTAAATAAAAGTCAACACAAGCGAATAACTATCGAACTCTAATTAGGTACCTACTAAACAACAGCAAACGTTAAACAACCTAATAATACAGATATCAAAATGAAACCGAATAAAGTATATACAGAATATGCATTTTAAAATATTTCAATCCCAAGCCAAAGATCAGTTACGTTTTTTATTTCGTTAATTTATTTAATCGTCAACAGATTAAACAGATTTTATCTAAGATTAAATGCCGTGCTCCTGAGTTGACAGGTGAGAAACAGGAGTCAAGATAATTTCTATAAAATATGTCTTCAAGGTGCGGCGACGGCGACATTGATTTCAAATTAGGGAAACTTTAATCGATCTGTCACTCAAACAGAGTGCTCGACAACTGGTGAATTATTTTAGCTTAATTAACTGACACCACCTGACACGGAATGAGAACTTTAACATCAATGAACGTTTGTCTATTATTTACACTTTGGTACCGCGAACAATACGAAACTTTTAATTCGAAACAAGAATAAATGGATACACATATTATAGGAGCTAGCTGTTACAGTTCATAACCAATAATAAACCTTTTGCTTTCGTAGCAAAAAAAGAGTTTCAAAGCCCTGTTGGCAATGATGCAAGTTACATACCCTTAGCAATAAATGACTTGCATGGTCTAAAATAATCTAAACATAAGTCAAACATAACAATCATAACTTAATCTTCCTGTGCTACTTACTTCTTATAAACCACAACTCGATAAATCCTTATAGAAATCTGTCGTAAATTATTGAAGAAATATATCAAAAATGTGACTGTAGAAAGTTGCGTCACGAATAGGCCGATAAACACCTGCTTGGAGATTTTGAATAATTATACATATGTAGTAAACTTTCCCAACTTAGATATAAGTTCCCACCCATAACCAATACAAAATTATTAACCAGTTGTTTATGTTAAATTTTACATCCAACATCTCCAATCGCTTTTGAAAGCAACAAACGGATGATGTATATGGCGTCTGCAAAGACGTCCAAAGTAGCTGCAATCAAAATCCTTTATCCAACGCAAAATCTAGGGTGACGTAGGCATCGTCGTGACGTCCTCTTACGTTTTTTCTTAATGACAAGAAATCTAGACTCAAAATTCATTAACAAAAAAAATCGAAAATCATTGTCTATTTTGTTGATAATGGGCTTCATAACATTTTCAACAATCTAAGTGTCGAACAGTGCGTTTTAAATAAATGTTTACAGAGAAATCGTGTATTTTACAATGTACAATGCATAAAATACTATTTTTTATGACGTCAACGTAACACATTTGAGTCTAGGCTATTATATCAACATTTGATAAGAAACACAATAACGTTTAGTTAGGTCAGCAGTACTTGTGTAACACTTCGTGTTTACTAATATAACTGCTCGCATACTAAACATGTACTTCCGCACAGCCTCAGCTACATAACGCATGCCAACCGTAATACTTCTGCTAGGCGAACTAGTACAGGCCATCATTGCATACCTTATAGCAACACATGCGTACGCGACGGCGACATTTTCATTAACGCAAAGATGTATACATCGGCTTAGTTGTACTTGCTCAAAAGTATCTTGATACCTAGAACATGACTACTCAAATGACACTATTCAATATTTACCTACGTACTATAAAAAGTTAGTACAGGAACAGGCTACAAAAAAATCAGTTTTGGAGACTTATTCACATTTACAATTATTTAAATAAATCTCCTACTTTCCGGTATTTGCTAAGGCCATGAGAAAGTGAACTGACGGGCAGTCGCGACCGCATCGAGTCTTCTACGTCGCGCTGCGCGTACAGTACCGTTAACAGCGAAATCGGATGACTAGTAAATTTATGGAAATAGGCTAGTAGGACTTGCATCAAAACACAAGCATTCCACAAGTTCGCAAGTCTCAGTACAAAACTTTTGTTATTGATATATGTACTTTCACTTTTCGGGACATTATATAGATAATATACAACAGGTACTGTAAAAACAAAACAAAAAAAAATAATGTGGACCTATGGCATCAAACTATGTAGGTGTATGTAGTACCTATTTCTCGCAGCCACACAGCTTAATCAATAAATAACAATAAATAACAGCCTATACAACTGGGTCTGCCCAATTAAAGGGCATAGGCATAGGTCATCCATCAGACTCAAGCTGCCCCTGAAAAGAAAACTGATTTGATTTCTTTCATCAGAAGTAAACTGCTGCCAGTGTATTTCAACAATAGCGTTTTTTAAATAGGTTAGTTATTGTTTTTATTTTGTGCACTATGAATGGCAAAACTTTTGTATTTAAGACCTCGCACAAATTTTGATGTTAACTCATATTTTCACAATAAACTAATTCTTTTCTAGACCATTAACTGCTCTGGTTGGCTGCGTTATAACTACGTACATATTATTATGGTTTGTATTAAAACGACTAACAAGATATCCATTACAATGTACACAAACACTGTGAGCATGACAGGAATTTAATCGGACCCAAGCCTAATGTTTGTCTCATCGATTATTTCGGACGTCCGCAAACGTTGGCTGTGCAAGTGTCCACAGATCAAATGTTTGACTGACATTACATGTTGTATGTTGATTACAAGTTATGGCTTCTCAATAATTCGCTAGTGTTATGCATTATGATCTAAAATTAGAGCTCCTAGTCTAAATTACATGATTACAGTGATTGGATTGTCTTTGCAGCACATTAGTAAGAAAAGTGCAGGGAAAGCCAGATGTTCCGGGCTAGTAGTCCGTGGCCGCCACGCTGCAATTCTCTTCAACGGTCTGTGCACCGCTTGATTACAACTTAGCTATGACACACTATAGACTCCAACACTCAAAGCTTACGTACCTAAACACCTACAGCCTGCCCTAAATTTGATAATACCTAGTTACTAATAATATTCTTTTAATTTCAATAAAAAAAATTACCGTTTTTAAACTTATTGTGAATTACCTCACAATGTTACCTACCCCTGTTTTCTGTAAATTTCATTACAAAATACTTATAACGAATATAACAACATTACCTATTTTAAAGGCTTTAAAATATACAGGTTAAGTGACAAAGTTAATGTCAAAACAATGCCATACCATGAATAACCAATAACCAATAACCAATCAACAATTTCTTATTCTATTTATTACCTATCTTTATGAACTATTATTCGAATACTTGATATGTCTCATTTGTAGGTAGATACACTGATACATGTTTAAGAAAGTATACGCATAGATACACAACGTTCAACAAATAGGAAATTACAGTTTGATTGTTTCCATGTCTGTCTACCATTAGAAACCTTTCGAAGGTGATATCTTTGTATAGTTATTGCTACACCTCACGATAAGTTCAACACAATATGACGGGCGTATCAGTTTGTACAAATGTGATCAAGCTAATTGATTGACACGTTGGAAATGTCGACTGTGCACTTTGTATTTTATGGATTATTTTCGGGTTCTAATTTCTACTGTAGGATAACACTAACGCATGATTTTAGTTGTCATACTGAATAACTATTTGATTTATTAAATAGTGACTATCTAAAAACTGAAAATAAAGAAATGTAATCTTGTTTATTTTCAGGGAGAATCGAAGCATACACATCCAAGACTATGGTTATATTCAGCGTTGCTTATGCTAACGGCTCAATGCGCTCGAACACAATGTCCATGGGAGGGTGCGCCAACGCTGCAAGCCGCATGTATTTGTGCACACAATTTGGCGAGGGATTTGTCAGTCCAATGTGATCAGGTAATGTCGTTAATTACATTTCTTTGCCAGATGATGTATTTCGTTGATAAATTTATCTAGTTTTGACTTGTTACTAACATTGTTTTCTTGTTTGATTCCACAGGTTGACTTCCCGACGTTATTGTCAGCTCTAAATATGAGCACACGAAATATTGTTATCGATCTACTTTACATAAACAATTCAAGCATTCCTGTCCTCACCCATAACATGTTTTCAAATCTCAAAATTCACAATTTACAAATATCTGGTTGTGGAATAAAGAAAATAGAAGATGACGCTTTCCGAGGACAAGGGCCATATCTCAAAAACTTGAACTTGCAAGATAACGAACTTACTGAAGTTCCCGTGAAGGCTTTGAAAATTTTAATTAACCTCTCTCTATTGGATATATCTAAAAACCGCATTTCTCATATTGCTAGTCATTCTTTTATCACTCTTCGTAAACTCACGACACTAAAAGTATCAGACAACAATGTTACTTTAGAACCCCAAGCACTAACCGGATTAGAAAACTCATTGAAAAATCTAAATTTAAAAGGGACTAAACAAAAAACTGTCCCCGAATGCATAAGAGGCCTTCGAAGTTTAGCTTTTCTTGATCTATCACAAAACAGTATCAGAGAACTTCCAGGACCTGATGGTAGTAGGACCTTCGAGGGTCTGGACTCGCTAACTGCTCTAAACTTAGAACGGAACCTAATTGTTCATTTGAGAGATGACGCATTTGCTGGAATAAAGAGCACTCTAAGTTCTCTAAGTCTTTTAAACAATTTACTGCCTGAATTTCCGACTGCTGCAATAGGAACATTGAGCGATTTGAGAGTTTTAGACATTGGGTTCAATTTATTAAATAAGTTACCAGTGGACGCCTTTGTTAACAATCCATCAATAACTTTATTAGCATTAGATGGGAATCCATTGCCCACAGTACCAGAGGAAGCATTTTCTCACCTTAATCAAACGCTTCGAGGTCTGAGTCTAGGCGGGCGATTCCTAAATTGTGACTGTCGCTTGCGTTGGATTATAGAATGGATTCGAAATGGAGAATTACAAGTAACATCACGAGAAAGAAACCCGCAATTCTGCGGCAATCCTTCGCATTTCCGTGAACGTGGCTTCTATAGTTTCGAGCCAAATGAATTAGTTTGTGATAGTGATATATCTAGTTCAACAACAGAAAAACCAATACCAACAGTAAAGGACTTGAACGAATGGAAAGTAAATCAGGCCATCACTACCACGTCCACAACTACTGTCCAAACATCGACCACAGAAATAAGCAACAACATTGATATTCCCACCAAGCCCGCCATCATTCACACTACGAGCACCACAAGCACTACCAGCACCGCACGCCCCAGCCGCATTCCCTCAGTCCGACCAGCTGCACCCACCTGGCGCCATGCTCCTCACCAGCGCCCTCCACTTGTCATGAGTTTTCCGCAACAAAAGCCAAAAGTAGATGATTCCAATGAAGTTATCGTGAAAAACGCGTACAGGCAAGATAATTCTGTTATCATTCAATGGGACTCGGACGTTGCTAATATACTCGGCTTTCGCGTCGTTTATCGACTCTTCGGAGACAAAAGCTTTAAACAAGGACCGCCTTTGGAAGCCAGCGAAAGAGAATTCAAAATTAAAAACGTTCCATCTCAGGTGTGTATACCATATTTTTATCATTTATGCTCTGATACATATACAGTGAAACTTGGTTAAGTGGGACCTGGATAAGTGAGAAACCTCCATAACTGGAACTCATGCTGAGGTCCCAACACTTTGGCACTGAATTACCTCTGTTAGTGGGACGAGGCAAACCTGTATATCTGGGATTTGTTCTTTCGATTTATCATCATAGTTACCTCTTTAACTGAGACAGCGAGTAAATTTTATATGCATAAACCTCTGTAAGTGAGATAACATTGTTTGTTTACTCATTCTTATTCTACCCACAAATTCCACACGTAATTCCAAGTACATAAGTACAAATTTATACAGCTTCAATTACCTTCAGTTTTAGTTTCGCTTTACTATCATACAGATGTTTATTTGAAAAATGCCAAAACGAAAGCTACAATCGTTATCATTACGTGAAAAACTGAGGTTAATATCCGTTTATGAAAATGGGGAGACACGCGAAAAAGTTCGTGATTATGATTACCTTTAAGTACTATTTTTTTTATTAAATCTTATTTACATACATATATACATGTTATGTCACTGAATAACTGACTATATACCCGTATAACTGAAATAATCTGTATTCTCACCTATATTAATGGAACCCTCTGTAAATGAAACAGATATTTATTTATACCTGTATATCTGAGACACTGGGTAAGTGGAATACCTCTATAAGTGAAACGACATTGCAGGTCCCTTGATGTCTCACTTAACCAGGTTTCACTGTATATGAATACTGTTATTATTTCCTGACATTGTTGAACATTTGACTGTATTTCAAATACTATATAATTTTTCAAAGAGTTTAATAAAATAAAATAAGTTATTAGTGAAAAAGTGAAGTGGAAAAATACCTATATTGCAGGGCAAAGGCACATGGAGAAGGTTTGAGCATTAATCACACTTGCTCCAGGCCATTTCAAACCCACTATTATAAAATAATTAGAAATTAAGCGTAAATCGAGGTTTCCTCTTAATGTTTTTTTTTTTCACTATTTCTCAGTGGGCTTTAAATAAACTTAGAAATCTTTGAACTACCCAAATCGTTATAGGTATGTATCATGTTATCGAGAAAAACTATAAACTATAACTTATTGTATTTTTTTCAGGAATGTATTGTGGTCTGCGTGATCTCCTTGGAGGAGGTTCACGTCAGTCCAGAAACGGTGCCATATTCCCAATGCCGAGAGGTACGCACCGTTTCCGCTGCTGCCTCCAATATGGACAAGATCACGATTGCAGCCAGTGCCGCCATTTGTGGTACTATCGTGGTAGCAGTTCTAGTATTCGCCGCGGCTTCGCGGCGCCGCTCTCGCACCGTGCATCGATTGCACACACAAGCTCCAGAGAAGATGCCCAACCCTTGTTGCGGGGGCCTCACCGGCACCCCGAGCCCCAGCGGACCGCTCTCTTCGCTAGCAACGATCGGCGCCTTTGGAAAGCAGCGTGAGTGGGATCAAGTGTCGGCTTATAGCGCACGTTCGATCCCGCGTGCACGTTCCTATACTGAACCGGCTCCTCCGGACCCATTACCAGGTCGTCCTGGACGAGCACGTTCTCTCGCTGATGGTCAATCACAGCATAGCTATTCACATTCTGGCCGATACGGAGTGCCAGGATACCCTAGTAGTCTTCTAGGATCTCGAGCTGGTAAGTTACACTATCGCTTTCAATTACCCCTTCATTTCATTTCCGGCTTTTACTTATTTTTTCCACAATATCGAATTGCAAAATATCACAATTTTCAATAACAATATCGAAAATGTATTAAATTTTAGATCTCCGACAATCACGACAGTCTCTAGGAGCAGCATCAGAACGCGCTTCCCGTTTATCATTAAGTGGTGCAGCCGGCGGCGCCACTGGCGGAACTGCAGGATCGCGAAGGAGGCCGCGGTCGAGGTCGCGACCAGCCAGTCGATACAGCGTCGGCTCTATAGGTATGGGATACTGTGACACCTCCGACAACTGGACTGATCATGATATGGACATTTACATGGCACGAAACCCGACGACTCGCAGTGGATTAGTACCTTTATAGCGTGTAAGGGACACGCCGGCGCCGCGGGGAGAAATGACATGTCGAGGACGCTCCTCGCCTACGCGAAGGGCTCCCGAGGGCTATAATACCTCGTGGTGCAGTCATGAAGCCCGGAAAGGCCACCGACATTCTCGCCGACATAGCCATGAGAAGAAAAACAAGAGACGTGCGCACGCGCACTGCAGCCGATTCGCGGGTCAGAGCCAGTGTGTCCGGTATCCGTAAAAATATAAATATTTCAAAAAAATATTGTTACCTTTAAAACGTGACGATAGTTGTGCTTAGATTCAGTATATGTACTTACTTCTATCTTAAGGTTAAATAACTGTAAATGCTACAGTAAGTATATAGTGTAAATGCTATACCTAAGTATACTTAATTTTAATAAACAAAAATTATTTTTTATGTATATTATACAGGAAATCCTATGTGAATGCAATAAACATTAACGCTAAGTCCTTTTAATCATATAATATAACTTTAAAATGTTAAATTAGAACCATTGGTTAGTGAGGACTAGTCAAATTATTTTCATTGATGTTGTAACTCTGAATAATATCGACAATGTTTGTAGAATGACACTAAAACAATATTGTTTGCATTTTGAACATAGTGTTCTTTTTACCACTGATTTGTATTATATAATACTTTATTGGATTTGATGGTGCATGTATTTATTTTAGAAATGATTTATCACATAAATCAAATAGTGTTAGTAATTTGTAAATATTTTTATATCTAGGTCTTAGGATGGAAAATATGTCATGAGCAGTAAGCTCATGATGTGAATACCAGTACTGCAACTAAACAACTGCCAATCCTATTCCAGTTTTAGGAGTTTTTTACATTGTGTGTGTTTCTGACAACGCAAGTATTGGACATGTAATGTAAAATATAATAATTAAAATGTCCTTTGTAATCTTTGAAAATGACCAAATGAATTTTTCTTTTATCAAACCTAACCATCGAAAATGGTGCTATTTATCATAATCTATTATTCAGTAAGGAATCCCATGATTTCATATAAAAGAACAATTTAGCCATAAGCATGACAATTAAGTATTTTCTATTATGATGAGGCCACACATATTGCAAAAGCAAAAACCTAGTGAAACACCGCGTCGAATAACGCTGACGCGAAAAAAAAAAACAATTTTATATAATGCACACAATAATTTAATTACTCAAACATTTCTTATAACCAAAAATGAGTTTTGCTTAGCATTTTGTGTGGCAGTCACCTTAGTTGTTCATCGCCCACCATTTGTAAATGTTTAATTGTCTTGACTCATCTACGGCCAAATTTTATTTATTATCAAATGTTAATAAATGTAATAATTAATGTTCATGAGTTTTTATCCTAGAATAATGTTTGTATAAAAAAAGACTCACCCTGGTACGAGAATACGATGTTCCCACCGATATTGGAGCTCCTGACAGAACTCGTACCATAGATGTGCCAGGTAGGGCAGACCCCCAGCATCGAAAAGCCGCGCCGCAGTCACTGACACGCGCCATACCAAACCCCCCTCTGGACTTGTCTTCACATAACTGCACAACTTCTGCTCACCATCAACCTGAAAAAATAAAACAGCAACCTTATTACATTATTTCTTTAAACTACTACAACTAACGCCATCTATTAGGAAACAGACTTAAATTTACCTGTTTAAATTCTACTTCCAGCTGTTCAGGATAGTTGAAAGTATTATCATCAACTGCATCAGGAAATACATAGTACAGTAGAGGCATGAGCAGGTCATCAGCTATAGGCCCTTTAAAATCAGACATATGTTTACTTTGTCCCATAGCAGCCTTGACAAGTTTAGATATAGTTATTGGAGCTTCAGTGATTTTATGGAGGGGGTTCACCAAGCCCAAGCTTTTACTTAGTCCAAGAGTATCCATAAGCAAGTTATTGTTATCTAATAAGTCCATAATTTTACTAATAGTTTCTGATAATTGACAATTAAAGTTTTCCCTCATTTTGAGTGTAATTGTCCAAGTAGGGGCCATGAGAGGATCAATTTCAGAGAATGTAGAAGAATCCACTATAGCACACTCACGGAATTTCGGCCAGATAGCATTGAGTAGTACACTTTGTATGGGGTTCTTCTCAGACCCAAAAGGAAGTTCCAAGAGCTTTCTGACATCGAACCCTTCAATTGATAAAAATTCATTTGACTGTGTAGTCTTCCTCCAAGCAAATGCATCCACATCTTTTAATTCATAAGAAAACTTTGTAGATACTACAACAGCGTCTAATGCAACAGGAGATGCAATTTTTGATTTAAATAAGCTCACCAACCCACTCAGATGTGAGCACTGATTTGAAATTCTTTTCAAATGGATTGTGTCAAAACTCACTTTGTGTTCACTGTCTTCATAGAATCCTAAATATGTCGGTTGCCAATGTTCTCTAATCTTAACAAAGAAAGGCACACCACAGTCTGTGTTAGCAAAAGCAATATTTGCAGAGCTCATTACAAGTTTTATTAAATTTCCATCAACCAATGGTAAACTTGAATATAACATTAAATAACGTTTTAGGCCATACCAACTTGATACTGGAAAAGGACTGCCATCAAGGTCATCCATAAAATTTGTTGTGGATTCCCAAATGCCATTATGCAGATCTACAAGAATGGATTTATTCTTTGTTTCTACAGAGGTCTCCGCAGATTTGGCAGGTTCCAGCATATGATAAGACAAAATGTATTTGTTGCCCTGAAACTGTATTTCCTCTGATTTTCCAACCCATTTCTTTGCGTACCCTCCTGATAATTTAGATAAAGAAGATTTCGACAATCTCCAATCTTTTATTATCTCTTCTATACGAGCAATGAATACTTCCCATTCTGATGCTGTTGTAAAATCCTGATGGTAAATATCATATTCATCTATTTCTTCATTCATTTCTATGTTAAATTGACGAAATCACAAGGAAACAAACACAAAAAACAAACAGCTGTTGTGGTTTGGCAATTTCAGTATTGACACTATTGACAGACCCAAAACATTGACATTAGCATTACAATGTCAAGCTATTTCTGTCATTCAGAGGAAGCAATCCATACCTAAAAAAATATAATATTTTTTCATCAAGGCAAGTTTGGTCTGTTCGGTATCTTATGTGTTTCATAATGACCTTTTTTGTATGTATGTAACTTTAAAAGAACTTCATTTAATTAGATTCTTTTTTTCTCATTAAACGATAAGGCTTGTATGTATGACAGACCCATTGAACAAATTAACCAATTAATGGTTAATAATTAATATAATATTATACAAATATAAAGTCAGGGCTGTAACCATTAAAACAAGCGCTAGCTGTAAAATGCTTCTACAACTAGCAAACAAGATTTAATTGTTTTAATTTTCGTAGTAAGTATATATTTCAAAGTAAAAATAGATTTTGCGCTTCACCAGTAATTAATTTGAATAAAGTCGTATTAAGGCGAAATATTTATATTACTTTGTACATTCTGGTGTGTCGTATCCACAGGTCGTATCGCTCATCGCTCTAGAAGCTGTTTATACATTTATTGTAGTTAGAGATACGTGGCCTTTTTATGTGTCGCGTGCATCCTGACGCTACGTGACACACCGCGCCACACAAGCGTTTCTCTCCGTAAGTTCCGCCCGTTCTCCGTTTAAGGTATATATGGATGCCAGATAACAGGAGCGCTACTGCGTTTCATTAAACAACGCCTTGCTCATTTTTAATAGGTACGCTTTCAGGGTGGTCCGAGTACGCGTATTCCAAAAAGTATAATCTATAAGGAGAAGGCCGTGTTCGTTTCATTACCATGGCAACCAAATAGTGAACAAATAAACTTTACCTGTTATTGTCATCGCTATTATTAACTCTTAAATTATTTTCATAATGTTTAGAGGTGATAATCCGCACTCTCTAAGTTATGAACAGCAAGCTAAGTTCATTCAAGATCGGATTACTAATGTGGAAAAGAACTTTGGAGAACTTTGTGTTGCATTCGGTGATTACACCAGAAAAACAGCCAGGCGAGTAAATATATTGTGTAGAACTCTAAGGTACCTAAACAAATATTCGTTACCCCTCAGAGAAAACAAGGAGTGCTAATATAATTGCAATTAACTTTTACTCTGCTAATATTCAGTAATAGATATTGTTATAAATGTCAACAGATTACGTGATATGGGAGATGAATTGGTTAAAGTGCTTAAGGATTACGCCAACAACGAGATCGTAAATAAATCTTTGAGCAACGGCCTAGAAAACCTCTCTACTACATTAACAGCAATTGAAGAATATAGAAATTGCGAAGTACAGCGGCTAGAAGCTAAGGTAAAACGACAGACATGTTGGTCTTCTACGGTCTACCTACTTAGGTTAAAAGTGTAAGAAGAACAAAACTACTGATGAGTACAATTATCTCACCTGATGATTGCGGTGATGATAACCGTGCAGTGGTACAGTCCGATTGCAGTACGCTTGCATGCGTGTGCACTGCACGTCGACTGCAATGGGTTGCATTCAAATAGCATCAATTAGCGGTTGGATTGCAGTCTACCTATCTGTCTAGAGTCTTATAGGTAAAGCAGCTCGGTACGCCGAAATGCATATTTTACGTGAACATAAAATAGCATTGTGTGTTTGGGTGTATAAGTTAAAACCTTTTTTGGAAATTTCACTAGACATTTTACAACTAACGCACTCATTTAGGTGATTGGAGAGCTGTGCCAATACGAAACAATTTGTAAACATGCCAGAGAAGAGCTTAAGCATACAATGAACGTCCGCGAAAAGGAGCTCGCACGCAAGAAAGTGCTAGACAAAGCTAGAGAGAGGCAGCCGTTTAACCGACAGCAAGTTGTAAGTTAGCCCTTGCATTCGCATATAATTTAATTATCTAAATATTTACTTAAGTATATGTATTAAATATAAGTACATTGTCGATCTGAGCTTAAAATATGTGCGGTTACCCGCAGTAAATCTATCGTTAGATATACCGTTGGATTTAGTTACCTGCCATTTAATTTTAAATGAATACATACCTACCAAGATAAGAGCAATAAACAGCGTGGTACCGTCGGTGCTAACCCGATATCAGGACACAGGGTGCCGAATTGAGGGGACACAGAAATTAGGTATCAGATCAAGACACCAAGACCACAAAAAATACTTACTTATCTTGTGAACCTACTAAACTGTACCTACTAATTGTTACCTTCCTATGCCTATGTTAGCCACCCATCCCCTATCCTATTTGCATATCCCTAACAACACCACAAAAGGCCAGCCACGCACTTGTAGTGTAGGGAACTCCCTTCCATAAGGTAGGTAGTCCGTCTGCTCGTTTACCAACCTATGACATAAAGAAAATAAAACTCCTGTCTATGACGTCATCACTAATGTTCAGCAGCGGCAGTGGCCGGACTTCTTGTGGCTGATAAGATGATGATACAGTTGTTAGGTATGCTATAGTTTTGTTCTATTCTATATAATTGAGTAGGTACCTACCCTAAATGTCCCTATAATAATATTTGACCATAAAAGTACCTAGGACATCCTATAGGACCTACCTACTTTCTGGATGAAAATTAATAGTGGATAGGTAGCTCTTAAACGTAATTTAAATTAATCCACTTAGGTACATACAGTAATAAACATAGGTGAGTAGGTAAATAAGCACCAATAAGCAAATTTTTAAGCAGCGCCAAATGTTTATTTTTTAATTTAAATACTTGGTTGAGTGCTCAACAAACTTTTTACTTCATAATCGTTTTATAGACATATGCAGAATCTGAGCTTCTCAAGGCGTCTGCGGAAATGTCTCGTACTGCAAAAGGTTTGAGTGAGCAGACAGAGTTCTTCGAGCGGCGAAAACTACAGCAACTCAAGACGCTTCTTTCAGACTTTGTCATGATAGAAATGACTTTCCACGCGAAGGCAGTGGAATTACTTACGGTTGCTTATCAACAGATCAGTGACATCAATGATAAAGCTGACCTAGAGGTAAGCTCTTGAATGTTTAAAGTTTCAATGGCTAGCTAAGAGCGTAATGGAATTATCTACCTTTTAGATAATTTTCTAATAATTATTTTTTCTGTGTGAAGCGTTTGAATACAGGTCTTTCAGATAACGAGGATCAAACGGTAAATACTTAATTAACATTTAAGTGCCTAATTTCAATGAATTACTTGAGTGCATTAGTTTGTTTGTTTACTTACAATTAAAATTATTTAAACATATACACATCCAGAACTTCAGAAGAAAGCTCCGATCACCTGAAAAACAACCCAATCCTGGAATGTCCGTTAGATCTTCGTCTCTCGCTTCGCTCATGAATCCGCAGTCTCCCACGAATGATGACGACTCTGCGGTTAGTATTGATATTTATGAACTTATCTTAGATTCGAATACTTAGGAGTAAAACGAATATTAACTTTTAAGGTGCTAGAACCTAGAAACTTGTAGATTTCTAGATACCCGAGATCTAAATGGCCTAAACCTTTTGACCGCCATTATCGGCGTTAGACGACGAACGAAAAGCAATTGTTTCGGGTTCGTTCCCAAGCTGATATTTTTTTTTATATATTCTCAGTCATGGATTTTTTTATTATATTATTGTTGTGTACTTTCCACCAAGTAGGTACCTAATTGTTGCCTATCATATGTTCATATTCATACCATCTACGAAACATGGGATTGATTTAAAAGGAGGCTGGGATGAATGGTGTGATAATAAAGATTGTTTCAAGAAGAATTCAATATTACGATCGGGTTTGAGATACCTACTTTTTTAAACCTATGCTTCTTTTTGTATGCCCTTTTCCAGAGTGCGCGAAAAATGAAATCACCCGAAAAGTATGGTAATCCAGGGATGGTTAGAACTGGCTCACTTGCAGCACTCATGAATAATTCAGCTAACAAAGATGAAGAGGAGACATCGGTAATATCGATACCTACTTATACTTATTTTAGATTTATAAAAAAAAACACAATAAAATCTTTAAATAATAATATTCTTTTGGTAGGAATCTGAGGAAACGGATGAAGATTCTTCCGAAGAGACTGAATCACGTTGATTCTACTGTTTCTGTTCGTTTTTTATTGGATAAGGTTCCTTATAAGTAATACCTAAATTTTACCTATATCATATGTAACGAGGCAAATAAAATAATAATACACTGTCTGAATGTGTTACGAAGGTTTGTTTTATTTGGAATATTATAATAATTCATTATGTAGCTAATCTTTGGTGTTTACCAATGCATTGCAAAATACTAAATAAGTCTCGCTGTAAAACTATGATATTCAGTAGGTAACTTTTTAAAGGTATATTTCAAACTTTATTTATTTTGTACATATCATTTCTTGAGCATAAGACTTTGACATGCCTATAGGCAGCAAGGACACATTTGCACTTAATGCAGAACTACACGTATTACAGGGACTAATAGATACGCGTGCATTTACATAAAGTAGGTAAAGCTTATATACATCCACACACAATGACTGATATCCAAATTTTATTATGATATGTCTGAACAATCGCTGCAAGTACCTATTGAAGTTGGCTTAAAAAACTTCGTAAGTCAAGCGATCGAAGCCGTTGTCGTGTGGATTTGCATTAACTTTTTATTCGTAAGCTAAATTCAAAGACATATATTTCTATCGCATGTGGAATTACGATGCCTTTACATAATAGTTTCCTTTAGTAGGTAATGTACACGCGATCGTGTTTTCTATCTCGTACTATTATGTGCCAGGCACCATCCTAATCAATATTCACCCCCTTTGTACTAACTCCTTTATTGATCCTAGTAACAAAAACATCAAATTTATCGTACAACACAATTTAATTACAAATTAAACAATCATACAAATAGTTGCGCGAACACAGATAATATAGTATATTCACTGTGCTTAGTATAATGCTAAAATCTTACAAGAACCCAATCATCTGATCACTCCATATTGCTTTGCCTTTAGATATCCCCTTTCCATCTATAAAACAACTACTAGCGAACTATGTAACAAAGGAACACTTCAAATATCTCAAATCCATTCAGCAGAGCCTGATAAATTTGAACAATTTCACAAACCTCATGCCATTATTTATATAGGTACTGTTTTAACACTTACATGCCCATTAAGGCTTGATGTGCCACATGATATTATCTGTCTTATATTGTAAACTAGCCAGTCTAAAAGTAGTGAATATGGTACCATATCATAAGGACACTATTATTGGAATTAATAATTCATTCACTCATGTATGAATTATTATACATGGTTATTTAAAAATAATAAGCAACCAATTTAACATAATGAAACACTGTTTCAATGTGTTACAAATGTATTAATTAATACAAACATCATTTATTTACTTAACTGTTCATATTATTAATTGGTGTTACACTCCCATGTAATATATGAATTTATTGCCCTATGGAGTAAAATTGCAAATTGGCTATGGCCCCTTCCCTGCCATTTCACTTATGTTTAAATAATATTACCTTATCTATTTATAAAGGGTGGTCTTATAAATATAACAATATTACCATTATTATAATACATGAGCCACATAATCATTCAGCCCCTATGGAGTGACATATTCAATCTTTATATTTGTGTTAATGTATTTACTTTGACACTATATGGTAAAAATGACATGATTCAGGCACAAAACAATGTGGTGTGATTGTTACATCTAGGATCACTGCTACTCTAGTAGGTACTACTTTTCATTTTCAACACCAGCTTGTGTCATAAGATCTGTTATGTTCTTCTCCAATTCATCAACACGAGTCCCCATCTCATCTATCCGATTGATAATCTGATCTGACATGCTCTGAAATTTGTCTTGCATATTTTGTAGGAGTGACTGAACCTGAAAAATGACAAATATATTATTATTTTTAATAATTTTAATATCTATTTTAGATTTTTCTTGTACTTGCTGTAAATATTTCTAACATGTACTAATAATTGAGGCTCATCTTGAAGTATCCTATTATTATTTATATTTATTTCATGCCTTATGCTGAACTAACTGACACAAGTAGGTAGGCATTCTATAAATTGTATGTACAGAATCTTATGTGTCACATGTTTTAGCGTGCAAAATTGTTTTTTCTTTCTTTACTTATAAAACCGAAAGAATGGGCAGAAGTGTAAATTTTCAATGTATTACTACTCATTGTATTTAGCCTCACCATTCTTATAAATGAAAAATCTCATATATGAAATATATGCATATTTTAATGAAAAGGACATTATTATGGCACAGTATACAGGTTTTAGCATTATTCTGATATGCATTTATGAAAAAGTTATCTAAATTATGATGATTTCAATTTGAAGCTGTTATTGAAGATGCAGACTATTGAATCAAGCCGACCCAATCTGTAGATTACTCCCCTAGCCGCAAAATAATTTCAGCGTCAATCTATAAATTACAAAAAATAACTAACTATTCTTATTAAGAGATAATTGAATTTAAAGAAAGTATCGAATTCAAAATTACGTAATAAATTATTTAATGCTGGTTATTAATATCAACGAATATGTGACTTATTAATAACGTACTCGCAGTAGGTAGACTCAGAAACACTACTGCAAGAATGAACTTACATATTGTGTCACCTCCTGCATGTTTTTTGGATCATTGCCCGGTGCCGTGTAGGTGTTCTCCACGTCAGTTGTTGTTGTTTCTGTGTTTTGTTCTGCCATTGCTTGAATATTTTTCTTCAATTATAACGAAATGCTATAATATTTTCAAATCGATACAAAGTTAACGAAGTTGTCTCGAAATACCCTTCACACACGACACTGTTTACACTTCGGAATCCTAGCAATAACTGACTGAATTAAGTCGACATGGAACTTCAGTGATTCAGTGTAACATAAATATTAAATTCAACTTTATGCTAATCTAAAACATTGCCTGGAGAATTGATTGACAAAACAAAATGACAGTAGGTGCGATGCATGACATGGAATGACGGAAATATCCAAGTCCAACCAAGTTCCTTGCTTGGTTGAGTTTCAGTATGCGATCTGCGGTTTTCTGAATAACTAGGTTTTTCTTTCTTTCTTGGACAGCAGTATGAAAAGGATAGGATTAACTTTAGAGGTAACAAATTAATAATTTTTGTTTTGACGATCTGGAATTCAGTCCCACAGATTTTTTCTCTATGGCGCGATGCGATCCAACGTCAATGTAAGGCTTAAAAAACTTGCATCCAAACTCCAAAAAAAAAAATAAACAAAAAAACATCAATGTCAAATTTAACTATTGTCAATTTGTCATGATCATTTAAAGTTGAAGATTTTTAGATTCGCCGATTAAAAACGTTACTAAGGATTTGTTCTTAGCTTCTTTTTACTTTGAGAAATAAACTGCATTCACACTTAATGTTGTATTATTGAATTGCAAAAACATGCAGCCGTTATCACTTAACTCTAAAGGAGACATTCAAATTGATATAAACCAAGTAAGAATCGATATTCTCCATGGCATCCGTGAATGCACAGATCGTGGACTTACACAAACTACTAAATGGCTTGCCGAGCTAAATTACTCTTTGAAGGATCACAAAATAACCTATGAACATCCTCCGACTACTAAGGAGGAAGATGATATTTCGCCTGAGGAGAAAGAAGCTTACACCTTGGCCAAAACTTATTTTGATTGTCAAGAATACGACAGAGCTGCTCATTTTTTAGAAAATTGCTTGAGTTCTAAATGTGTATTTCTCCATAAATATTCTCAATACATGTCAAGTGAGAAAAAACGTTTGGACAATGCAACAGACCTGGGCACCGAAAATACAGAATCAACACAAGTTTTATTGGATTTACTGTCATATTTTAAAGTAAGGATAAGCATCTATCTTCTGTTAATACTATGTAATCTAGAGGACTGTGTAGTATCCACATAACATATGAATCTCCTTATAATACTTACCAACTTTTATATATTAAATATTTTGCAGGCAAACCGAAACAATCTAGATGGGTATCTTCTGTACTTAGAGGGTGTAGTTTTGAAGAAACTTGACTTAAGGAGTCAAGCGGTGACAGTGCTGCAGGCTGCAGTAGCAGCGGCACCTACACTGTGGTCTGCATGGGTGGAGCTTGCAGGTCTAGCCAATGAGTATGAAGCACTAGACTCTTTCCAACTCCCGAAACATTGGATGATGTATTTCTTTGCGGCACATGCTTTTGTTGAATTGAAATTATCAGAGCAAGCTTTGGAAGCCTATATGGTATTGGTTGCAGCAGGGTTTGAAAAAAGTACTTATGTCACAGCTCAAATGGCTATTGCCCACCATGATAGAAGAGGTAATTTTTAAAATGTTTGTTAAATTTGCTAATAGTAATACTTAGTGAAATCATCAATATAAGCAATACATTAATATTATTATTTCAGATGTGGATTCATCACTGGCATTGTTCCGCGAGTTGTATCAAAATGATCCATATAGATTAGACAACTGGGATGTATACTCTCATCTTCTTTATCTCAAAGAAAAGAGAATGGAACTTGCAAACTTAGCTCAGAGAGCTGTATCTATAGATAAATACAGAGTTGAGACATGCTGTGTTATTGGTAAGTTGTATTCAGTTTTATGTAACAAAATCCAAATAATGACTTTTGTTAATAACAAATGTGGCATTTGTGTACTTTCAGGGAACTATTATAGTTTAAGAAGTGAACATCAGAAGGCTGTAATATATTTCCAAAGGGCACTTTCATTAGATCCTCAGTATCTATCTGCATGGATCCTCATGGGGCATGAGTTTATAGAACTACAAAATTCTAATGCTGCAATACAGTGTTATAGACAAGCAATAGGTAAATTTAAAGTTTTAATTATATGTATAACATATGAATATATAAATATGAACTCTTGCATCCTCTTATACAATATATTGCAAATATTTTCAGATGTAAACAGGAATGATTATCGTGCATGGAATGGCCTTGGACAAGCTTATGAAATCTTAGGACTCAATGGTTACTGCATATATTATTATTCAAGAGCTGCACAGCTAAAACCTGATGACTCAAGAATGTTGGTTTCCCTTGGAGAAGCATATGAGAAAATGGATAAAATTCCTAATGCACTCAAATGTTACTATAAAGCGCACAGCACTGGTGATATTGAAGGCATGGCATTGTTCAAACTAGCTAAGTAAGTACATACATGTCAACAACACACTGTCCTTAATGGTGTATTATTTTCATTATAATACAAAAATTATTTTAAGGATTTATAAATGACATCAATCTGATGGAACATAACAACATTATAATTTGTGTTACTATTGCAATTTATGTATTTGTTTCAGGTTATATGAAAAGTCTAATATGCCTAACAGTGCTGCAGCTGCTTACACAGCTGCTTGTCAGGACCCTGCTAATGCAGGCAGCAAAGAGTTACCTGCAGCACAGCGTTATTTAGCACAGTACTATCTTAGGTTTTCATTGCTTGACCATGCTGCTCATTATGCTTACAAATGTTTAGAACATGAAAGTGTAAGTTATTATTTTTATATTTTTTATGTTTTTTTAATACTTTGGATTTTCTCCCGTGTCGTGGGTGCATTTACAAACATACAATTTGACACACACATGACACCCAGACCCGAAACAACAATTTGTGGATCTCATAAAGTGTTGTTCCGTACGGGAATCGAACCCGCGACACGTCGCACGGCAGCCAATTGCCTAGCCACCGCGCCGTCCGTGCAGTCAATAATATCTACAACAAATATTTTTTATTGGTGTAAACTGTAATCAATTATAAAATAACCCATTTATCATATTTACAGACTAAAGAAGCTGGTAAAAATATTCTTAAAACAATATCAGAAAAACGATCATCTGCAACAACCTCACAACCAACAAATTTACCTGAAGACTTACCCGATGCCATCAAGAATGCGTCAGTGTCATTATCGCATGATATTCCTAAAACGCCTTTACCGAGCCCTAACGTTACACCCGATAACTTCTCCACACCTGTGTTCGCACGAAAAAGCAGTAAATACAAAATGTGACAAACAATTGCTAAAAAATGTAAAATGTGAATAGACTGACTGTAATAATTTAAGTATAATTTGAATAAATTAGAACTCGTTCATGAGCTTAATTTTGGTCTTCTAATTAATTAAAACAATATTGGTGGAGATAATGTGCTATACTAACACACACATAATTTGGTTCAAAGAAAAAACAAGGTTTATAAAAAATAATAGTGATTATTTTATTTATACAAATTAACAGATCTTAGTGCTCAAATAGTAAAAAAACAACTATATTATGAACTAAATAAATAGGTAAGTGCATTGATTAGAAAAAAATTGTTCAAGTTAGCTCATTGCAAATAAAAATAAAACTGATTACAATCACAGATGAAGCACATAATTTGAGAGCTCAATTTCTAACTGGCTGACTATAACTATGTTTGCAACTGATTTCTTTGAAAACATAGTATTATAAACATTAACCCTGACTAAGAAAATTATTTTCAGTACAATTTTTGTCAAGCAAAATGTTAAAATATTAAATAACATTAAAAATAACTTTTATATTTCATGTGGTGAAATTACAAAAAGTCAACAACTCAATACTAAGTTAAATGGTAGATTCTATAAGAAGTTCATTGATGATTCATTGATTTAAAATTACAATAGTGAGCAATTCATACATGGACAATAAATATTTTTTCAGTTTTATTACCAAAATGTGGTCTCCAACTCATTAAATATTCAATAATCTTACATCTTACATATTTTATCGTTAAATTTTGTACCATTCCATACAATTCCAAACTATCAAATAAGGCCAGTAACCTTTATGACGTCTTTGAACGACGCAACTCGGCCCCTGGCTGACTCACTGAACATAACTTACTCACACAAGGCACCTGATTACAAATACATTCTATGTTAGGTACCTGTGCCTTAAATTTTGCAATACTAATATTAATGTACGTAAATAGCTTCGTCATTTACTGGTCATATCAAATACAATACTATCTAAATAATTTAGGATAAAGCTAAAACCAGAGTCTTTATCAATATTTCATATTTATACACAATTTGTTCATATTTTACCATTTCTATTCAAATAATCGCAATACTTTCATTTCCTAATTTGAGATAACTAATAATTCATTGTAAATATACATATAAAAAATGTAAGGCATGTTGAGGCACTCAATTTTACAACCATAACAAGCGTGCTGCATGGTGTTAGCTATGGACTGACAATGCATCAGATACAATAACACACTGGCTTTTGCAATTACACATTTTGTAAAATTCAATAAATGAAATCTGATTACTCAGTGTAATCACGCAGTGTTACTGTATCTCCACTATGACATAACATTAATAAATTATTCAACTACTATACAATTGTTCAATAACATATAAATTTGTAGCTTGGTTTGTGCTTTTTGTTACGTAGTTTGTTCTTTGACATCTCACTTAGTTCTTATGTTTCGTGTTAATCCAAATCAGAGGAATGGATTCTTGGAATTCATAAAACCCCCATTATTCGTAGACTGCTGAAAAATAGATAAGGTAAATTAGATTTATCAGTAACAACAGAATGAGTCATAGGATTATCCAGTGCCTGCAACATAAATATTTGATCTGTGAAGTCATTAAGTCACTCACAAATTGTAGGGAAGCAATATTAACTATCAGTTGTAGTTTCCTGTATGTTTCAAACAGATATCATTATCAAAATACATCCAGGAAAATAGTCCATACATTTAATGAATACATAATTCATAAAACTCTCAGTTAAATAGGCACATCAGTACATCAGTAATCTAAAATTAATCCCTTATAAAGGTATCAAAACCATGGGCATCAAAACACATTACACACCATAAATAGAGGGTCTCTGCAAAAAAAAAAATAACTTTTTTTTTTTTTTTTGCAAAAAAAGATTTTAACTTCTATTTTATTCAGCATAAATTATTATTTGAAATAAATAATCATCATGGCACAAACATGGATTATCCCATGTCCCATGCCATCTACTTATATACAAGAAAAACGTGTTAGTAAGATTACAAACCAAAATGTGCAGAACTGCTTTAGCTAAAATTGGTGGAAAGATAGCTTATGACTGAGATGGACATAGGACATTTTTGTCTCTAACTAGCCATCCCCTCCATTTCATAGATCATAGATTCAAGGTAGTATGCTAAATATTGGTATACAGTGTGTTAGTTTAAACAAGGGACATACTGAAGGAGCTGATTTTGTTGCTCAATTACAACAATTTTTTTCATGGGACCAATAAATCTAAAAAATGTATTTACTCATATTACCCCATACAAATCGGACAGCTGAGTAATTATTATGCATGGAGAAGTAATTTTATTTGTTGAGATTTCCATTTTTATCTTATAGAAAGTACTTTTGAGCACCAGAAATGGGTCATTGAATATATCCCACATATAACCTAATAACACTGTTTATTCTATTTGATTTGTGGCTCATCAAAATTATCATGCATAATTTTTTTGTAAATCTATCGCAATCTAAATTATGAAAGGATAACTGTGTTACCCTGAGTTGATCGAAGCAGGTAACAGCTGGTTATACATAGAAACAAGGCATAGATAAATTATACACACAATTAATTTACTAATCATTATGGCTAGATGGCTACTGGAATTTGGATGTATTAACATGACAACTCAATACAAGGTTACATCCAACTTTATTCAATGACATGTGCGCTAGATTTGTCAATACCAAATGAGAAAAGATGCAATGCTAAACAATAAACCATTTCAAGGATAATTTAATCATATCTCACAAAAATAGATCTCCAAATTAATATCCAGCTATTATGTATCCTTATTTATATTAGATTATTATCCTTATTAGATGTTAGATTTCTGTAGTTTATAACTAATGTAAAATTTACAAAAATAATCATACCATAAACGGATTGACTGGTACCGTAGATGTGGCAGTGCTCCATCCTCCATTAAAAAAGGGATTTTTACTGGCAAACAGATCATTGGTTGTGGTACTTTGGAATGGATTTTTATTATTTACAACATTATTTTCCTCTGAAATAATAAAATAATAATTAGAACAAAAAATATTGATAGTCTCAAATGATATAAAAATTCAGCAAATAAATTTATTACTAAGTTATTTTTATGGGTAAAGAGATAAGATATATGCGTAAATAAATGACTCAGACAAAGCTTAATGATATTAAGCTTACCCATATGTTTCATGTTTTGTTGTCTTAGAGCCATATCCAAATCTGCCAGTGCAGCATAGCGATCATCTGCCAAAGAAAGAAAATATATTTTTGATTAATTGATGACAATCAAACAACTTTCCAATATTTAAGACTTAATAAGTAGGTAAACTTACTTGCAGGCTGATGAGGGGTACTAAAAGCATTGAATGCTGGTGAGTTCATGGACGGAGGAGTTGCAAAACTATTGTTCATATTATTATTGATCTGACTACTGTTATAAATATTTGCTGTAGAAAAATCAACAGGAAAACTGAAAATTTAATAATACATTGGTTTATTATAGAGTTAATATCCATTAATTATGAGTAATAAGTCCATAGATCATACTTACTCAGGTACTGAGGCTGGTACAGCAGCAGGTACTGGTGTGACATTTACAGTGTTCATGATAGGTTTTACCAAACTGTTGACTGGTTGGGCTACTCTGTAACTCAGGTCGTTAGCAGGCAGCAAATTGTTCACCACTTTTGCAGTTTGAACGACCGTGTTATTGTTGATCGTATTTTTCGATGTTTGCGGCGAAATCGATATCAAAGGAGTTGCGTTCAAAGCGTTACTTCCGGTCTTAACTTTGGGTTTATTCTTCATTGAACTCCCATTGACAGGATTGTTCGTAATTGCAGGTGAATCTAGATAATAGCGTTTCTTTTCATATTTATCAGACATAAAATCTTTAACGCTTTGCTCATCAGTAAAATTCACACTTTCACCCTCGTAAAGGCCTAACCAAACGCGCCTGCAGTAGTCGTTACCTCTTGCCTTTATAAATTCTATTTCTTCCGGCGTGAAAGTGGCCATAGAAATGGACTTCACGCGGTGAGGCGGTGTAAGACCACGCCTGAAACACAATACAGGAATCTGTTTGTTGATCTTATTCAATCAGACAAAAGCAGAATAACGCAGAAACAATACTTACAACATTCCCGAGCATTTCGAACAAACAAAAGAACCTATTGTACTGTTAACGTATGTAGGTCCTCTTTGGTTGCAATCTAAACAATACTTGTTCCCATTGAGTGAAATTAGCTCACGTAAAATTTCTAAATTTTTATCGTCCTGCTTGCGACGATTTGCAGCCATTTTCGTATTCTATGTGTGGGTAATGTTTTATTTATATATATACGGAATGCTACACTGATAGGTTTGTGGTGTGTGTGATTGAAAGTAATTTTGTTGATCAATCAACTTCAACTCAGATTGAATTTTGTCTATGGTTACAGAGGTGTGAGTTACCTCTTTGTATGTCGGTAACATAGACGTAAAAAACTACAGCAGACCAAACATAATCTAATGCCACCATGTAGAGGAGCAATACCTAGCTACATAATTATTATATACTAGCAGAACGAGGGTAGACGAATAGTTTGAAGAGTTGTTTGTACTCATAAAATAAATGTTGACATTCCTCGGGCGACTTGTATTTGCTGTAGGCATTGCCTTTTGCCCAGGTTAATACGTTACGTTCAAATATACAGAAATCAGTGGCGTAGCTAGGGGGGCAAGGGCCCTGGTGCATAGGGAGAGAATAGGCTCTCCTCCCCTCTTTCCGCGCAGTTTGAACTTATTGATATGAAAAGTTTACTGAAAGATCTTTCTGATGCCGCGAAAGTAACAGGAATTGTGTAAAACAGTAGCATCACTGTATACACTTCTGTAAGGTCACATTCGAGCACGCCAAATTTCGTTATAATTCCTTTGCAAAGCTGGCGAATAGACCACGTCTCCATCAATTGAGGGAGGATCAGATGATATACATTAAGAAATTGGAGCGAAAAAGTGGGTCCAATTATATCACAATATTTCTTCTGAAACTGATCACATTTTTTGAGTAAAATCGTTTCATTCCAGCTGAATAGATTTTTTGGAATCAGGAAGTCGAACTATCGAAAGTCGAAATATGTCCCGAAATCCAGTGCACCATGCATTTATTTGCGAAGCGAACAATCAACACGGTTGACAGTAGGCAGCATCCAGCATTTTGGAGTAACATATCCAAAAACGACCAACTGGACCGTATTGTGACGTAGAAAAGTAATACCTTTCTGAAAAGCTCCTGTTGTCTTGGTGGGGGTCCTTCGGAAAAGGTCCCGGAGGTTTCAAAGGTCCCTTGTCAAGAATCAGACGTTTTTCGGTATCACTCAGTTTCTTGTTGATGTAATTTCCCAAGTCATTTGAAATTTCGAGAACTTTGAAGATGTAGAAATTGATGATTCCTCTACCGTAGGTTGCACGGAAGCGTCGAGGTAGTCATTTTCAGCAGGGGCATTGATGGTAGTATTTTGAACGATGACTGCGGCACATTTGAACGATGTTTCGGCTGTTGAAGGAACTGTAGCAGAAAGCGATTTCGTAAAAAAGCGTTTACTTTCTTCTCTTTCTTGTCGTTGTTTCCGCTTTGCGGTACCGCTACGTGCCTTTTTTCCCATAATTTTTAATTGGTAACTATCGAAATTTTAGAAATCCGGAGTACTCACTGAGATTTTCCTATATTGCTTGTTAATGTTTAGTATAGATTACAGCAAGCTCAACAGAAAAGAATCATAAAACAGCTTGTTTGGTAATAATGTGGTAAAATCAATGTTAATTCATAAGAGGATATTATCGTTTCTATAGTAGCTCGTTTGTCAATTTGGACTTGAGTTTAGGAAAACGTTGGTTATTTTTTATTGCCGATCTGTATCGTACATATCTTGTCATCGGATTTTTTTTTGCGAAAATGAGTTTTACCATAATTTGGTGGCGAATGGATGGATGTACGGAATAGATATCATAACATTAGTGGTGATACTTGATGAAATAAGGCTGGTAGTAGGGAATTACGAAGTACAACAGTAACAGTCAGCGACACACCTAGCATCAACTACTGTAATACGTCCCAGACCCCAGAAAGTTGAAAAAATCGCCGGAAATATCATAAAAAATAAATAAAAATTTGAATTTGAAAAAAAAATACTTGAGAGTCTCGAGCCTGACCACAAGATTTTTTTTTATATTTTTCAAAGCTGAGGCTAGAGGGCCCCCTGAGCTCGAGGGCCCTGGTGCACGGCACCACCTGGCCCTATGATAGCTACGCCACTGACAGAAATGTTATGTTACAATATCAGTTATATACTTAAGTTACAGGTATCTTTTGGTTGGGGCATCAAGATCATTCCCTCACTAGCTGGCTCCTGCTCGATCTAAGTACCGAAGTCCGAAAGGCTTTGTACAAAGAGCACAAAACGCATGTCCTTCTTGGATGACTCAACAGCTATTGGTTGGTAACTGATAATACTACCTACAGGTATTCAAAATGAATTTATAGCGGCAGCACACGTATGTGCGGGCTCATTGTCATCGCAGCGGTAAGACCCCCTCTTTGCTTTCAGTAGGTAGTAGCTATAGAGACGCCATCCGCCTGACGCAGGTGAGACTAGACAAGAAAGTTTCTAGAGGTAGCTGTTTTGGTTTCAGCATGAGGAACCAACCGCCCGGGAGTCACTTCGAGAACAACTGGGAGGACATTTTAGAGCATACGCCGGCGCTAGGCCCTACTCCCAAGCAGGCGATGCTTAGCGCATTAAGCACCATCTTGTCCTAAAGGGAACCGATTAAGGGCGACGACCTCTCGCGCTTGGAATTAGTCAGGGCCATGGTACTCAGCAAGAGGAATTGTGGATCCGTTTCCTATTTGTGCCAAGCAGTCATGCTCGCATAGAAGGAGACGAGACGATCTTCGCAGATAGCGTGCAAGGGTAGCTTACTCATCATCATCGACAACCTATTATGTGCTTGTAACCTACAAGGCGTGCGTGCCTTCGCTCAGGAGAGCGAAGGCACGCACGCCTGCTGAAGGCTGATTGGCGATTTGAAACTAATTATAATTTTGCGCTTTATTTTTTATGATTAAGTGACTTACGAAAATCGATAGGGACTTAAGGTTTAAAGAGAAAAAGGAGTTAACATTTAAATATTTTTATTTTTGAAAGTTTTCGATATATCACTACCTTTCTCTTTCTTATTTGCAATTCTGGAGCCAAATTGTAAAGCTCGCTTAGGCAAAATAACAGCCTCATTTAACCCAAGATTTAAGGCAACTAACCTTAACATGAGTTTATCACCAATACCAATGCCTAATTCTTCACTGGGGAAACACCTGCAATATTATAACAAAAACATTCTAATTACATTTATTCAATTTAAAATAAAATCAATAAAAATAGAAAATAAGCAATCATAATAAACAGAAACTTATATATGTATACTCTAACAATAATATGTACCTTAGCCATGGTTTCAAATGTAGTATGTAATTTGTGAAGTCTTCATCTAAATATGGCATTCGCGGTTGTCTACCATGGTCACATATAACTCTATTATCACGAGCCAAATTTCTAAAAGAAATTCTCTTCCAGTCTAGTAGTAACTCTTTGTTGAGGCCTTGCCAGCCATGTCGTTTGAAAGCATTTCTATGTCTTAAATAACCACCAAACAACTCATCTGCTCCAGAACCAATTAGTAAGACCTAAAATTAGTTTTCTTATTAGTATTTTACTGAAGTTATAATAAAAAAATAATACTTCTATGTTGTGTTTTACCCTGCTGGTTGAAATGTTACATAAACAATCTTGGCCTCTTGCAGCAAACCACAATGCAGTCCCAAGACTTTCATCTAAAATAGTTTCTCGAGGATAAACTAGGTCCCCTATAATTTCCTCTTGGTACTTTTCTTGTTCTTCTTTTGTAACATTTATTTCTCTAAAGTTCCAGTCCCTTAAAATAACAAATACCCAAGTAGCATTCGGGGTTCTATATAAGATGTCTAGTCGTTCACATGTACTCTAGAAGCTGTGTATGTCAGCTGTATATGAGCTGTATAGCTTGCTATAATGCTTTTATTGAACCAGTTTGGGCACAAATTAGACAGCCTTAAGTTCACTATGGCTGTACATTAGAAGTATAATAGCATTATAATAGCAGTTTAAGTAGTAACATCGGACTTAAGGCTGACTTACGGCACTATATGGAACGCAGTGTGAACCATACAACGTCCATGAGTGTAATAAAGAGTAATAAGTGGCTAAATACACAGCCTTCAGAGTTAAAATCGGACAAAAGTACTCCAGTAAGCTACCTTAAATTCACTTGTGTCCTAAATTATTTCCAAAATATATTAGTTTGACAATTGTACGGAGTGCACGGATTCGGGTCAAACTAACTCCGGCGGATTATTATTATAATATAACACGCGGTCAAAGTACCTGTTTTATATACTATATCACGTTAATGCCATGGGAATGCAACTTTATCGTGAAATGTATACATATTGACAACTAAAATTTTCACGCGCCTCTGTAAAAACGCTTTATTCATTTTGAAATATTTAAAACTGGCTGAGAGAAAAATTTTCATTTTCAGTTTTTGATATTTTATTGGCATTATAATTATACTACGGTAATTAATTTTAACATGCAACCAAAACTCATTCACTCTATCTGCGTATTTTGTGATAAATCTGCATTAATCTTGTAGATTTATTTGGTAAATATTTTAGGTTACGTAGAACAAAATGGTGGAAATGAAATACGGCTATGTGAACTATTATAACTCCTATTTAATGCGGTGAGCGTATATTAGGTTCACATGTGTTCTGTTAGAATGCTATTATCTATATGAAGTCCCACATTTGTACCACTACAGCGCTAATGTCAATTAATTTATTCTAATGTGAACTTATGTACAGCTTTAAGATGTAGTTCAGGACAATTGTGTATCTTTAATTCTTTCTTCAAATACTAAAATTTTAGAGATCCGCAATAAAAAATATTAATGTCCGTTAAATGCCCAGTTACAAATTTTAACAACCTCCAATAATAAAAGGCCGAATCCTGGGACTTTCAAAAATTTTACCTAATATAGGCCAAAATTCATTTGTGGAACTTTTAAAAATAGGCAAACCATCCACATTTGTGTTAATTGAAATCATATCTGGAATATCCATCCAATTTAGCAAAATGCTCTTCAAGGTTTTGCTATCCCATTGTGCCAGTATTGACCTCCTCCTACATTTTTTAAAATGACATTAACGGGAGTGCATAATAATGTTCTAGCATCAGACGGTAGTGTTCCTGGTTTAAATTCGTTTATTATATCTGACAATTTATTCAAAGCAGAATGAGGAATACGATTTTCAATAGCTTATGTTCTTATTTTTTTGCGAAAGGTTAAATAATTATCCAAATCAAAATTGTATTCTATGTATATTTTGAAGGGAACTTTCAGGTTCAGGCATAATATTTTCTTCTGCATCATGTACGGAACCACCAACAACGGTTGAAGTCGCACTTGTTGAAGCCTTATCGACGGGCTCGATCGAACCGACTGTTTATTTTTAAATATTCTTTTGCAATTTTTCTTCTTATACCACCGGTTCTCGCTCTTATTTTCCAACATTTTTTATACATTTTCACAAATTTTATTGCATGTGACGTCAAAACATACTTTGCAATGGCGCTTGGGAAAAAGTGTAATAGAATATCACATTCACATTCATGTTCAGCTTACAGCAAATAAGAGTAGTACTTGTGGACAAATAAACTGCTATTGATGTTAATGGACAACACATATAGTCCTTCTAACAGCCTATAGTCCACATGTGAATCATTTAAATACTTCTGTACAGATAGTAAAAAAAGGTTATTTTAAGTATCACAAACAAGTCCTAATGCAGCTACTGGCTGTATAACAGTCTAAAACAAGTAAACATAACAGCCTTTGGCTTTATAAATGACCACAAGTGTTCTATTAAAATGCTAGCTCTATAACATCGAACAAGTAGGCCGTTAAACAGCGGTTGCCATATCTCTACCCTCCTATAATGCTCTTAGTCAGAAAGCTGACTAAAGGATAGTTGTTAGAGTATTATAACACCCATAATCGTATAAAAGTATTACTCTACACTCCTATAAGTCCCTTAGACAGGTATAGGTGTAATTAATTGCAATAATGCAGCTAATACATCACGAGTGAACTGTAGTAATGCTTTAAGTTCACTTTGGAACTAAATGTGTACTCTTAAATGGAACAAAATGCTACTTGGGTAGCATAGGATATATATAGGATTTCAAAACACATAAAAATCTTGTAACAAAATTTAGTACTTACCTTAATGGACATAGTTTTCGCAGTTCTTGTAATGACTGCTTTCCTGTTAACCTATCAGGGACTTCAAATGTAGATTTTTCATCTTTTTTAAATGCCACATTGATGAGATCTATACTTTGATCCCTAGGTAAATATTTATCTGCCAGTAAAGCTAGTATTGTACAATCAAGACCACCAGAAAATAATACTCCAACGGTACAATGATTGCAGCCACCTTTCACATATAAGCATTTCTTGCACCTGTTTGGCTGCTTTTGCAAGCGTAATTTAATGCTTTTCTCAAGTAGTTCAGTCACTTTTAAGACTGTTTTCTTTATTAAGTCATTTTCTAACAGTATTTTCATTGCCGCCTGTTTACACTGTGTTTGCACAGCTGTGTATTCTATTAATTGAATTATCTTATCCTGGAATCACATATTTTGAATAAATAAAAGAAATAAAAAATATTTTTAAGTTTGACAATCAGGGTATAAATATGAATTACATTTTCTTCAAAATTTTCTTCTATGTATTCAAAATGAAATTCATCATCTGGTAGTCTTTGTTTCATTTTTAATTGTTCAAACCAATCTTCAATTAAATATTCCTCATTCCGTAATCCACACTCATTCCATGGGTACATTTTTATTTTATTTGTATTTAGATTTAGTATTTGAATGTGTGTAGCTGGTACTTCAATACAATTATAATCTCTTCCCAAAACACTACTGATTATGACAGAATTTTCATTTTTGTAAAACAGTAAAGTACTCCTTCCAATTCTATCTCTCATGAAATATATTTGTTTATTCAATTTGTCATAGTAAATTATTGCAAAGGGGCCTTTTAATGTTTTCAGTTGTTTAACAATATAATCTTCTGTCAGTGTTTTCTGAAAAAATAATTCACATATAATTGACATAAACAAAATTAGTTTATACATGTAAATTAAGAAGCACTATACATTGTTATCGTGAAGTTTATCCAGAATCACTAATGTGTCGCTGACATTGTTGGGCCATGTTTCATCAAATATGTCTCCATTGTACAAAAATACACCTTTTTCAGTTTCAACCGGCTGTGGTGTTAATTCGGGACCCTGCATCCATAAAACCGCACCATAGAAAAATGCGGTCATATCGTTATCTAACGCAATTTCTAACGTATTAGAATCATCCGGCCCTCTGTTCTTGATGCGGTTCTTTACTTGATCATCCTAAAAATATTTAATCATGTTATAAAAGTTTTCAGTGAGTAACTAAGTGTTTCCTTGCAGCAATTATTTTTTTATATACCATCATTGATACTTTTTTGGAATAACATATTTCACAGGATATTCCACACATTTTCAGTAAATATTTTGTTCAGTTATTCAGTTTCTTATTGAGTTATTTATTTATGTTTATTTACAATTAAAAATAAAGTAGTCTTCTCTAGCTTGTACTATATTACGTGACGTTGACGTATGATAACATTTTTTATTTTGGAGTTTATGGCCTGGTTAAAAGTCCTTTAAGTCAGTATGATAACACGATGTTTCGACCAGCAGAGACTATGCATTATTACAGACATTACAGTACTTCATTCATTTTTTTTTTTTTTTTTTGGAGTTTATGGCCTGGATACGAGTCCTTTAAGCCAAGTCTTTTAATTTACTCGGTTTTATGTTATTATATACTTTCCAGAGTATTTTTAATGAAATTGTATAACGGCACTAAACACTTTGAATCACGTAGTAGATCTTCTAGGCGGCGGGAGGAAACATTATTTACAATTTCACTTATTTCACTGGCTAAAATCAACCTTTGCATGTTGTAGTCACTGCATACCAACACTATGTGACTAATGTCACATAAGACGTTACAATTCAAGCACTTGTCATTTGCATCGAGCAAAGAGTATGTAACCACTACGTTTAAGAGACGGGACTCCCATACAAGCCAGTGGAATCAATTTACACGGCACTCTAATACCTACATTGCAATAAATAAAAGATGTCAGCCGTCAAAATCAATAGTACCAACCTAAAAGACCAAATAGTTCTGTGGTAGCTGTATACTAGGTTTAGTATCGATATCGATAATATTTATAGGGTAGAGATCGAGGTCATATTACTTTTTTAATTTTTAGTTTCGATCTTTAAGATAAAGTTCGGATTTGAAATAAAACATTGTGTTATATTAAAAACTAAAAAATATATTTTTGTAATAATATTCAAATTCATGTTATATACGGACGGTGTGTTAAGGACCTAACTAAAATTATTTAAATTAAGTGGACTCTAATACTTAATACATATATTGGTTCAGTAAATTGGTTCTATGGGCACATACACTAAATCTTCTTTGCCAACAACTTTCACCCACTGCCGGCACCTGAAAAATGGAAAAAATCAAAATGGACAGTCACTGACATGAATAACTCTAAATTGTGTAAACAGCTGGCGTTCCTTATATAATAAATGAATAAATTTTACGAATACAGTATACATACATTTTTATCTACGTTTAATCATTAATTTCTTAAAATCTACTGGGTTTGTCGTGTCACAACTTTGTTCAACAACATCTAATAACATCATTACTTCTTTGGTGTGGTCTGGAAAGTAAATCACGAAAGAATAAATAAATCAAGGGATCTTTGGAGTTTAGCCCACACATAAGTCTGTGACTATCGATACTTGAGGTACATCACTAGTACACAATAAGTACATGAAAATCAATTTACATGTATTTGTAGCCTTTTATACTTAGAATTAAATAAAATTATATCATTTAATGCTTACCGGTCCTCATCCAAAGGAAATTTCGCCATAAACACCCTTTTCTCGCCATTTTTACGACCGGATCGTCCTCCGCAGATTTCACAAGTTAGAAACCGTTTTTTTTGGTGGCATTTTACTTGAACACGTAACTAGTCACAGCCGTATCACTAACCACTAATTAACTAAACAAATTATACGTAAATTTATGAAATTATGAAAATAACAACATAAACTTACAAAAGCAACGACATTCAAAGTTCAAAACTTCAATTAAAATGGCCGACGGATTAGTGAAAGAAAGAGAACTGTACTGAGGGAGTGGGATGGCAATATCCGGCTACTTCCGTGTGCCATTATTTGCCGTGCCAAGCCCATACATTTTTATTTTTCTTCTAAGTTGCGCTAGGCTGGCATCGAGTTTGAGTCTTGCAAGGTGTGCGGGTGTTCTATGATGTCCGAATCGAAGCCTGCATATAGTAGATATAAAATCTCGACTGGCGTACTTGTATTGCTTTTGGTCATACCACGGTCTCACAGGTAAGTCCGATTGAATAGTACCATACCACTTTCCTTTTTCTTCTTGGTCTTTCTTCCAGAAGTCTTTCCATACATGTTTTATGTTTTCTGTAATCAGTGCATAGCAGTCCGTAAAAGGTACCTTTACAATATTAGATACATTTATACAATTTATCCCATCAAATGCAGCTCTATCAGCGATTTCATTGCCAGTAATACCTTTATGTGAAGGGATCCACATAAAAGAAACTGAAATGCCTTTATTTTTTAAATCAAATAAAACTTCTCGAATCTTAATTAAAAGATAATTAGTTTTGAAATGAAAATTAATATTCTCTAATGCTTTAATCACACTTAAAGAGTCAGTCAAAATTAAATAGGTTGTGTAATGCATTGATGAAATTCTTTTCAGGGCCTCAAGAACTGCATAAGCCTCTGCAGTGAATGTGCTACATAAAAGACTAAGCTCAAAGCTTTGACAAAACTGAATTTGAGGATCATAAACAGCACTGCGAACATGAGACAAACCCTTACTGCCATCGGTATAAAGTCTATAATAGTGACTGTTAAGGTGAATAAAGTTTAATAACTCCTCATTATTACTAACTACTGTATTAATAATTGAGACTTCAAATAACAATATCTTGTACTTTGTGGAGTAACATGCCCAATGAGAACTTTTAATTATATTTGAAAATTTAAAATGTGCTTCCAGGATAACCTGAGATAAATCTGGGATAATATGACAGTGAAGGCCAGCCCCAGTCACACCAGACACATTGTGAACTACTGGATACTGAGGTAAAATTCTTCTTAAAACTTCATTATTATTAGCTGCAAATAGCTTTACAGAAAATCTTTGAGCAAGTAGATATCTTCTAATACTAAGGGGCATCACCCCTGTCTCAACTTCCATGGCACGGATAGGAGTTGAGCACATGGCACCAGATATTATCCTCAGACCTTTGTTTTGTGCTATATTTAATCTATGTACATAATTACAATCAATATAAGCTAGACAACTGTAATCAAAATGGCTTCTTACAATGGCTTTGTACAAAATAGCAAGAGTAACCGGGTCAGCTCCCCAGGAGACTCCTGCCAAACACCTCATGATATTTAAGCCTTTCAAAGAATTTTGTAAAATGTACTTGATATGACCTTGGAATGTCAGTTTATTATCAATTTGCACACCTAAAAATGTATGACTGCTTACTATGGGAATTGCTTTATCATTGTATAACACAGACAAGCTAGGTAAATCTTTTGTTATAAACATTACATTACTTTTGTTGGGATTGATATTTAATCGAAGTTTATTGTTGTAGTAGTGATATAATTGACTAAGAGTGTTATTAATATTAGCAATTGCCAAATCAATATCATTATGTACACTATATACAACATGGTCATCAGCAAACTGAAAAATATTTACATTATCCATATTTACATATTTACAAATTTGAGATGTATATATATTATATAACAATGGGGACAAAGTTGCCCCTTGCATTGTTCCTTTTGATACTTGCCTAGGACCATGTAAAATATTATTGTGTTTTACATATAGTATTCTTTCATTTAAGAAAGAGTATATCCATTTACAAAATTTTCCTGGAATACCTAAATCAGACAGTATTTTAATCAAAATACCAGGTTGCACATTATCAAATGCCCCCTGTACATCTAAAAAGGTACATACTGCACTAGCATTATTATTTCTTGCTCTTTTCAGATCTGAGATAAGAGAAACAAAGCTGTCTGCACAACTTCTGCCTCTTCTGAAGCCAAATTGAATAGTTGGGATAATGCACTTCGATTCCACATACCAATCAAGACGAATCTTAACCATGTTCTCAAAAATTTTTCCAAGACAGGATGATAATGAAATAGGTCGATATGAGTTAGCATCATTGACTGGTTTATCTGATTTAAGCACTGGTATCACACATTGTGTTTTCCAAGACAGTGGAATTACTTGATGGAGCCAAAGTGCATTAAGAATATTCAGAAACAATTTTTGCACCAATATATGTAAATGTTTTATCAAAATATAAGGAAAGTTGTCCAATCCAGGCGCAGAATTTTTTCGGGAATGAAGACTCATATTAAACTCATGCCATGTAAAAGGTTCAATTAAAAACTGTGTCTCATTATTATCATTATTAATATTAAAATACATATCAACATCAACTATACCATCAGATCCATTATCTGATAGTTTATCTAAGAATGGCAAAACAAATTCATCAGAAAGTGATTTATTATGAGTTTTCCTACCCTTAAACATTTTAATATAGTTCCAAATCTTACTGATAGGAGTATTTCTATTAAAAGACTCACAGAGATTGCGCCAACCATTTTTCTTTTCTACAGATATGGTTCTCTTTTTCAAGGCGTCTAACTTCTTATATATAATGTAGTTATCCATTGTAGGATTACTTCTATAGTATTTTAAAGCTTGATAAGACTTAATGACGCTTTGTTCACACTTCTCATTCCACCATGGCGCTGGTGGCCTACTTCTATATGAACTAGTCTTGGTATACTTTGGGATGCAAAGTAACTTCAAAGAGCTAAGTCTATTACAGAAGGTATTATATGACTTCAAAGGGTTCTCAGTATCCACATTGATATCATTAAATAAAGTTTCAGATATTTCACAGTACTTCACCCAATCTGCTTTTTTGTATAAAAATTTCTCTATTGGAGGATTTGTTTGATATTTATTAACAGCTAAAGTAAGATTTGTAATTGTAGGGAAATGATAACTACCCATACTGTCATCATGTACAGTCCAATCACACAGTGGTGCTAAAACTGCACTTGTAAAAGTGATATCAATAGCTGATGGGTTACAATTAGGCCGATTATTTGTTGTGAAACTGCCATCATTCAACAAGCATAGATCCAACTCATCAATTATATCATATAGTTGCTGCCCTCTGCCCTTGGTGCTTACACAGCCAAAAGCAATATGATGAGCATTAAAGTCTCCTGAAATGAACACTGGCTTGGGCAGATCTTTTATGATTTTTCTCAATTTGTTTATTCTAATATGGCCACTGTGTGGTGGACAATACACAGTCAAAATAGATAAGTCACCTAACTCTGTAGAAAGAGAAATTGCAACAGTTTGTACATCTTCATAAAATGTGGTTTGTAAAGTTGTATACT